TTTCAGGAACAGGCAAAGACGCTGTCTCCTCTGATTGTGAAGGCTCACAAACCCCGACAGAAACACGCACGTTTCTGCCTCGTTGATTTCAATTCACGGGAAGACCGCGATATTGCCTTCAAGGCAATAAAAGCTTCGGCGAAGAAAAGTGAAAGGAAAATCGTTGTATCGATTCCACGCACAGAGAACTCGGAATTTGTCCAGGAGCTCGTTCAACGCAGAATAAATGCTTTAGAGAAGAAGAAAGCAAAGGCGCGATTAAGACATGCGAGTAAATTAGCATTGCGGGCGAAAAATTTCACATCCTCGATTGTTATAACAAATCTGCCTCGAAGTGCCTCGAAAGCGGAAGTGCGTAGGTTATTCCCAACAGCGGTTGATGTGCAAATAAAACCACGAAAAGGTCACTTGATCGCTTCTAGTATAGCCGCAGTCACGTTACCCACGACAATGGAGGCGCGTGCAGCAGTAAAAAAGAAACAATCTTTGGGCGGGACGGAACTTAAAATTCGATATGATACGCAGCAGCTTAAGAAGCCCAGAAGTAAATCAAAGACCAAAGATAGACGGAAGGGTCCCAAGGGTTTGCAGCCTGCGGCAAAAAACTAAGAGATTAAATTTAAAATATTAAAACTGTCCAAGAAAAATCTAAACAATAAAAAAAAAATTAAAAAAAATACCAACAACAAAAATGAGAAAAAAAATTATTTAGTCGCTCTCGTATAATCTTCTATGATATAAAAAAATTAAATCTGTAAATAACGATTACAATATGACCCAAAAATAAAAATCATAATCTAATGGCCTTATTCATAAAAAATAAAGTAGGTTTAAAGAGCTTTATAAATTGACGTTTTCATACATTTTTCAATTTATAAAGCTTTTATTATAAAGCTACTTTATTTTTTATGAATAAGGCCATAAAAGTTTAATTGGATCAGAAAAATAAATATCCAATTTTAACGGTTAAATTGATTTTTATTATAACCGTTTAAGGTCCTTGGATTTCAACCGCAAGTACAAAAACTGCATCTTTCAACGGAAAATTACATAAATATTCTAAAACGAAAGTGCCAGAGCCACATCCCCATAACGAATTTCTTAAAAGTATTAAATAGTTTGTTCACATATTTTAGGATTTATTTAAAATTATAAAGTAAACCGGCAATACATAATTATAAATGCGAATATATAGTACATATTTGAATCGCATTAGTTCAATTACGCAGTTTTAAGCAAGTGATAGTAAATTAATTTATTGCATTACACATGTTCAGTAATACGCTTAGTGTGCATGCTTGCTGTTCCATGAAGGTATGCGCATTTGTTTTTAATATAATATGCATACATATCGTCACCTGAAATGCAAAAAGTCGGTAACTCATAAAAAATTCAAAATTCACTTTTTGTTTGATTTCATCAAATTACAACTCACTCCCCACATCGTTTTATGCAAAAAAAAAAAAAAAAATTCACGACCTTTTTTCATTTCAGTGACGATGATGATACGTAATTTTGCATTTCAGGTGACGATATGTATGCACTGCATTTTTTTCTAAATACGTACATGTTTACGTGATTTAATTTTATTTAAACAAGTATCTACACCTCACTTAAGTTACTCATACACAATTGTTTCGTGACAAGAAAAACACCGCCAGCACTTTGATTTCATTAAGAAATTATTAAACATTTTTGCCTGTTTGCACGTCCATACATTGGTTTATTTTTGTATGTGTACGTTAAAATATATTTAGTACAGGGTTTCGAGCACCAATTTCGGTAATAGAAGGTGCGACATCTTGGAATAAACCAAGGTTGCATCTTCATTGCACTCGTTTTAGGGAATCTAAATGATAGTTTATGGAGCATTATGTGACTTTTTAACAATCCTTCAATTAAAACAAAAAAAAAATTGTCTTCATTCTGGTTTAATCAAACAGTCGAGCCGCCTTTAAATTTAGCAATTACTTTCAAATCCATATTTCCATACTAATGCACGGAAAATTTAAATGAAATTTCATTAAAATAACCCGAGTAAATAAGCGGCAAACCAGCTAACACTCCTAATCCAAAGTTTTTTCTCTTTTAAAGTAAATTTTACCTTTGGGACATTAGCGGAGAAGATATGAGAAACTTTACGCATTTTGTGTGGCATAGTTTAACTACATTATGTATGCAGTTTTTGTTTTACATAGAGTGCAGAAAGATATTTATTACTGTTGTTGGATATACACAGATATTTAATAGAAAGAGGGAAGTTTACTTAATACATCCATTATTTACTTTTCAGTATTTGATTATGTTTGCAGCAACCGTTGTCGAATGGATGGTGACGATGATGGAGCAGCGCCGGAGGACTCTGCCAATGGAGCGGGTTGTGGTGGTGATCGCAAGGGAAACGAGGGCTGTACGAAACGCACACGTTCGACGTCTATGCTGCTTGAATTGGACGGCGCTGTGTTGGCTGCTGCATTAAATGCCGACGTAAAAGCAGTGGCGGCTCAAAGGGTGTGGTAGTTGCGCTCGTTGCGGGCCTTGTAAAATTTGTAGGCAACCAAACTGATGGCCAAAATGCCCAACGTCAATACTATACCACCAATGAAGGATGGAAAATCAAAATGATTGCATGGTGGACGCGGAGTTGGTGGTGCAGCTGTTGTGGTCGTAGTTGTTGTGCTGTTGTCTGGCGCAACAGTTGTTGTGCTGTTGTTTGGCGCAACAGTTGTTGTGCTGTTGTTTGGCGCAACAGTTGTTGTGGTGGACGTCGATGGAGTGGTAGTGGTAGTGTTTGGCGAAGCTGTGCTAGAAGTGGTCGGAAGGGTTGTTGTTGTTTGTGGAGGAGCAGTTGTAGTGGTGGTGTTTTGGTCAGGTGCTGCCGCTGTAGAAGTTGTAGTTGCATTTTGATCCGTTGTTGATAGAGTTTCTTTTGTGTTTACTGACTCCTGTGTGGTAGTAGTAGGATCTGCAGTAATTGTCTCTGTTGATACTTTCAAGCTCGTTGAGTCGTTTTTGGTTGCAACAGTATCAGACGGTGTAAGATCTTTGATATTTGCCGTTGATTTGTTATCATCAGTCGCATTTCTAGCTGCTTTTAGTAAATAAAATTAAAGATTATATTTCAATTTATTTATTCATTTACACCAATCGGCTTTACACTACATCCTTATTAGCTGGTATAAATAACTACGTATGTATACATAAGTAAAAGGTAAAAATGTTATTAAAATTTCTTAAATATGTACGAAAGACTAATAACGAACACCCAAAAAAGTTAATGGCTGCACAACGACTATTAGATCTTTGCGATACAATTTGTCGGAGCAGAGCTTGGCAATTGTTAAATTGAATTCCGAATCATTACTGTAATAAGGTGAATAACTTAAAGCTTAAATTAAAGAAACTCAATATATATACAGAAAATAGAAAACTGCAATGGAAAGGCTCTGCATTTTTTATTAAAACATATTAGGGGTCTTCCCTTAAACTCGTAACGCTTTGTTTTTTACACCGTATCGACTCAGCTTATTGACAAGTATTTCATGGTTGACCATATCGAAGGACTGGCTGAAATCTGACCACGGTTCATAGCATTGAGAATACAATTCGTATAACAAAATAGGTTGGTTGTTGTTGATCGAACACGAAGAAGCCATGTTGTTTTTTTTTTGATTTAAGCTAAACGTTATTTGTGAGAAGATTATCTTCTCAAGTAGTTTAGCGATGAACGATTGGATACAGATCGGTCTGTTGTTAGTTATATCTGACTTCAAACCCGATTTGCGTATTGGACTGATAAAAGTTATCTTCCAAGAATTCCCGAATATGTGGACAGTCCCAGCCCTATGAAATATGTACAGTTATTCAATACTTATGACAAGATTTTATTAAGTTTCACCTGCAAATCTTGCAATTAGTTTTTAACCAGCATCCTGACTATTTTTTTTATCGCCCGATATGGTTCATATTTGAGATTTTTTTGTGTGGAGGGTGTTGTGCATTTTCTTCCGCATAAAAGTAAGTTTTGTGCATGCATTATATGGAAAAGAAAATGCGCAACACCCTCGACAAAAAAATAAACAAAAAATCAACGGTAACTTTTAGCGACTTGAAAATTGCATTTTATTATACTAAAATTGAAGCGACTATAAAATTGCCTACTCTAAATCTTATTAAGAAAATCTAAATTTTGATGAACATTTTTTTTAAATTTAATTACATTTTTTTTTTGAACTTTGTGCAAGTTTTAATATTTTTATGTACATATGTGGTATTTGATATATGTAGATCGACCCATATTTTCAATGAAAATTATTAATTATTATTAAAGATGAGTTGCCAACAGCATCATTTTGAATTTTGCTGCTTTATTTTGACCGTAACTGTATATCGATACCTGAGTGGAAGATCGACCTATCTGGGCAGCCAGTTCGAAAACGCCCTATCTCAGAAAACTTTTCAAGAACGCCCTATTTCAAAATTTTATTGAGAAACACCGTATTTCGAAATTCCGTTCAAAAAATAACCTGACTGATAACTGAAAATTTACTGAAAATGTACTGAGATAGGGCGTTTTTACAATCGGCAGCTGAGATAGGGCGTTTTTGAATCGGCAGGTGAGATAGGGCGTTCTTCGATCAAATTCTGAGGTAGGACGTCGTTGGAAAGTTTCTGAGATAGGGCGTTTTCTAACTGGCTGCCGAGATAGGTTGATTTTCCACTCAGGTGTCGATATGTATAACATATGTAAATGGAAGGAAATAACTCCATAAAAAATTTAGCCATTAGGTGGTGTGCGGATCCAATGTTCTGGTTTTTATTAATATCTAATAAAAGCTTGTCAAAAAGTTTTGTAACTACTTGTTTTGCTTATGTTAATCATTAATAAATGTGTATGCGCAATATTAATAAATTTGTATTCGATTATTCAACCAGTTTTGAAAATTCAATAATCTATTGTAGCCGCTACAACAACAACATAAAACTTTTTTTCATTTAAAATTGCAAACCTTCTCCAGTGAGTCATTGTGGGTATGTATGTACGTTGTGCAAATAAATATATGAAAGTATCAAAACAAACATAAATACATTTGTATAATGTACATATATGTATGTATAGTACATATTTAGTTTTCAGCGCAAAACAAACTTATCAGCAACAAACACAAAGACAGATTTTCGTTCTTTTGTCCACTGCAAAGCGTATACATATCGAGACCTAACCGCCAAAATAACGTAAGCGACATTTTTTCAAAATTTTCTTTTTGATGCAGAAATGCATCTAGATGCTCTAGGAATATTTCTGCATCAAAAAGAAGATTTTGAAAAAAATGTCGCTTATGTTATTTTGGCGGTTAGGGCTCGATATTGTCGTTTAAAGTACAAAACCGCGTATCAAGATAAGGTATTATTATTATATATATTTATTTTCTAGAGAGTATAAACACTCATACTTCATACCACGACAGTCGGGTCTACGAAACCGGAACGACCCAGATTTATATCTGGCCAAGGACTGTCACTCGCACACCGTGCCCAAAAGTCACAACTCAATATAATACGTTCGTCAGATAATGCGAAACACTATTTCGTAGCACATGCTAATCATATGGTTTTTTTTTTTTAACAAATTATAACAAAAATTTGCTCCAGCTTTTGCTGAAAGGTAAATAAAGGGAAATGTTTAGTTATTGGCCCATCGTTTTTGGGGTGGGGGGCGGAGGGGGAGGGGGCGTGGCCCCCCAAACCCCCCTCATTCGAAAGGGGCTAGTCGCCACTTTACGAAAAGCCCCAACCCCCCCTTGGGGACCTCCCACAAACCCCTAGGGAACCGTTTGAAAATGGGGTAAAAACGGCATTTTCCGAGGCAAACTGAGCAGTTTGAAGTGGAATATAACCCAACTAACAGAATCTGTGGGGTTTTTAAATAAAAGAAGTTATCCCAAGGTGGTTATCAGGCGAAAAAAGGAGGCCTAAACACCTTTCGCAGAGAACACCTTTGTGCGTAGGCGGCCTTCGGCCGCACTTAGGGATTATAACCCTCAGGCAGTAGAATTCTCCTTTCTGTGTAGCCAAAGAAGGAGGGCTGAACACCTTTTGCAGAGAACACCTTTCTGCGTAGGCGGCCTTCGGCCGCACTTA